CCCCCACCCACCGCCGCCAGGCAAACAGCCAAGGATCATGCACAAGTTATAGAAACACAGGTTCACTGACTCCATGTGATACAGGTTCATCTGTAAAACTAACTTTTAGAACTGACTTTCCCAGTTCACATAACAAAGCTCTGATGGCTGATGAACAAGTAAGGCTCTTTTTGTTTAGGATTTGGGACCTAGAGAGAAACTACCCTTGCAGACCCCTTAACTCTCAGCTTGGCAACTTCCCTAAAGGGGATATACAAATTTTTCTGCATTTCCTAAGAAACCAACCCCTGTAGACAACCCCCTGGGCTTATTTTATACTAGACCGCATGTTATATAATCACGCTATAATTTTTATGTAAAACATTTTATTTTATAATCATTATCTTAACCTTTCCGAGTCTCCCTGAAAGTAGTTTCTCCTTTCCCTTGTTCTTTTAAAGACGGTGATTAATAGTATTTTTTACAAGACACAAAATTTTCTATTTTGTATTACTTAGCATATGTGACGAATATCATTGAAAAACACATTTTCAAGTTTTATTGTCTTTTGATTAAAAAACAGCATAACTGGGGCGCCTGGGTGGCTCAGTCGGTTAAGCGTCCGACTTCGGCTCAGGTTATGATCTCACTGTCCGTGAGTTCGAGCCCTGCGTCGGGCTCTGTGCTGACTGCTCAGAGCCTGGAGCCGGTTTCAGATTCTGTGTCTCCCTCTCTCTCTGCCCCTCCCCCGTTCATGCTCTGTCTCTCCCTGTCTCAAAAATAAAAAGTTAAAAAAAAGAACAAACAGCGTAACATATTTGCATCTTCAAAACTCAACATCTGGCTTCCAAGTTTCTAGACTAGCCAAGAGCTTACCATTAACTGCTACGCACCAAAATTTTTGGATGGGAGTTTCTGGAAGGGAAGAATATTGTTTGTTTTTCCTGCCTATTACTGCAGAAAGAGTCCTAAGGTCTTTCACAAAGAGAAACACTCCCATCGTTTAGAGTCTGTGATGTTGTGGGTGACGAAAAATAAAAGAGATGATACAGATAATCAACAAATTTCACCAACCATTACATCTATTTAACTCTTTACCTCAGACCTGCCCCCACTGCTCTCTATAGCCTGTCAGTATCACCCTTAAGTCATACAGTAGACCAATGTTAAGTAATGCAGACTGACAAGTAAGAAATTTTACTACTGGTTTAAAAAGGTTTCTAATTCATAAACATTAAAAGTGCTGTTGGGGTGCGTGGGTGGCTCAGTAGGTTAAGCGTCCAACTCTTGGTTTTGGCTCAGGTCACGGCCTCACAGTTCGTGAGATCGAGCCCTGCATCAGACTGCACTGACAGTGTGGAGCCTGCTTGGGAGTCTCTGTCTCTCTCTCTCAAGGAAAAAAAAAAAAACCAAAAACTTAAAAAAGTACTGCTAAACTACATGACTTACTAAATTATCTATTCATCTCATGATTTATTTTTCCATCAGAAAGCAAAAAGCCATCGGAAGGGAGGTGGGAGGGGGGACAGGGAAAACAGGGGGTGGGGATTAAGGGCACTTGTGATCAGCACCAGGTGTTGTATGGCAATATGGAATCACTGTATTGTTCACCTGAAGTTAATATTACACTGCACGTTAACTAACTGGAATTTAAATAAAAACTTAGGAAAAAAGAAAGTGAAAAGCCATGTCATGCCATTTGAGTGCATTAAATATTTTCTGTTATATTCCATTTTTTGTTTAAAAGTTTAAACATTTTTTATTTTTGAGAGACAGAGACAGAGAAAGTGCGTACGTGCATGTGTGTGAGCCGGGGAGGGGCAGAGAGAGAGGGAGACACAGAATCCGAAACCAGGGCCAGGCTCTTAGCTGTCAGCACAGAGCCCGATGCGGGGCTTGAACCCATGAATCGGGAGATCCTGACCTGAGCTGAAGTCGGACATTCAACTGACTGAGCCACCTAGGTGCCCGCCCCTATTATACTCCATTTTACAAATTAATAGAATCAAGGGTAAAAATGTTTATTTTTTCAACCAATATTTCATAATGTGACAGCACCTGGATTGTAAATGCTCAGTTCCTTCCTCCTGGACATTACTTCAAAGGAAAGGGATCAGAGCTGTGTATCTGGCTTTTGTATTTCGGCAACGGGAAACTTTGTGTGAGGAGTCAGATGACAAACATTTTACGCTTTGCGGGCCATGCCATCAATGTCACCGTAGTCTGGAAAATGCAAATTAATGGCAAAAAGGATACACTTTTTTGTTTTTCGGCCCTCAGGCAACGATTTTAAAGGTCGATTAATATCCAGTTGTTGATGAGCTTGTGGAGATAGAATTACTCTAATTACTCCAGCCATCGAAATTATGCTGGTAGCATCTATTAAAAATTTAACTGTGCATGTTCCAAGGGTACGCACATAGCCAGGAGCGTGCATTAGCGCCCAGCATTAGCACCGGGGCCCTGGATGAGGGGGTGGCAGTGAGGGGGGTGGCTTGTGCACTCAGGGACACTGGAGACTGGGGTGAGCCACCTGAGGTTAAAAAAACCTGGTCACCCAGAAACCAAACTTCTGAGAAGGTATTTAAGAGAAATACAGTAATGACGTTATGTATCCAAGGACAAATACTCTGAAAAGCTGAAAAATCTAAACACCGCACGGACAGGGGAATAAACTGTGACACACGCGTCTGTCGGTACCGAGGAGAGAACGTGCAGGCCCTCAAGAGACCGCAGTGGCTCCAGGTGTCTGGATGTACAAGGACCCGATGATATTTTAAGTGAGAAAATTAAAATGTAACGGATATAGTATGATCTCATTTTTATAAAAAAACAAATCCCCTACGTACACGTATATTCATTTATGTGTTCTTTAAAAAGGAAAACCTATAAAGGAATTTCTCCCAAATGATAACACTAGTCACATTGGAAGTGGAGAATGGAAGGTAGGGTAAACTGTTAATTTTTCTTGAGACATTTCTGAACTGTTAAAATCAAACAAAATGTATTATTTTGGTTTCTTGCATTGCCAAAATTAATACAGTAAATGAAGATAAATTTAGAACCACGGGGCTCAGAACAAAATTTCTCTATGAGAATCTTTTGGCTTGTGTTGTTTTTTTCCTTAAAGATGATAAAGAAGTGTGGCATAAGTACCTTGAATTTAAACCAGTGTCAGAGTTGTTATGCCCTCTTTACTAAACGTGCTTTGAAAAGCCACACATGCCTCAGCACCAACGATTCTGAGGAATCAGCATGTCGACACACAGGAGGAGATTATAAACAAGGGGAGAGAAGGTTTACATGGGGAAGCGACAGCCAACAATACAAGACAGCATCCAGCTGAGAGCTCGATGACACGACAGACAATCAGAAAGACTGACGAGATCTGGAGTGCTCAGTCCCAGGACACTCGATCCAGGAGGTGGGGCTGGAAATGACCTGTACGAATGGCATTTTCATAACGTGAGGGGGGAACTTCAGACAAGAGCACCACATGGAAATGGGAGGAAAGAGGCAGCTATCGACGGGAAAGTAAGATCCACCCCAGTGGAATGACAGATCGCTATAGGGCGGTGGCAGAAAATAAGGGACCAGATTCTTTCTTTCTGTGCTGTGGGGTGATGATGCTCCAGAAAGTGTCCTGTAGCGGATGTTTAGGTAAGGGAAAATGATGGCCTGCCTGGGAAAACTACTTTTCTTAATGACGTCTTAAACTCTATTAGAGTTAAAAAGCATTTCCAAACAGATCAGTGGGCAGGTAAAGTGGTTACATTTATCTGTTCTGAAAATGGTTATGCACACCTATTTCAGAGTCTGGGCAGCGACAATCAAATCACATGTTTTAAAAAGATATGGTTTCAACGAACTACATGAGACAGTTGGTGCTAGGGAGTTTTAACCCCTTTGCAATTAGGGTTGTGCTGGGTTTTCTGGTATTCTACTTCATGTTTCTATTTAAAGTACTTTCTTCCCTTTTCCTACTTTCCCTAGGCTAAACCAATTTTTTTTCTTCTGTTGGTTTAAAAGCTGTAAGTTCTATTTCTGTTCTTACGTTGTTTGTCCCTAAGTTCCTGAACTCATGTTTGCTCAATGCTACTGTTCCTCTTTTTTCTTTTCTTTTTTTTTTTTCGAGAGAGAGCAAGAGAGAGAGAGTGCACAAGCTGGGGAGAGGGGTAGAAGGAGAGAGAGAATCTCAGGCCCCATGCTCAGTGTGGAGCCAGACACGGGGCTCGATCCTGGGATCACGACCGGAGCTGAAATCGGAAGCCGGGCGCCCAACCGACTGAGCCACCCAGATGCGCCCCCTCCCATGACTTTTTTTAGAACTTATTCTGATCTTATCTTTTGCTGAAAGGCGTGGGCTCCTTTTCTTTTAATCTCCACCCCATTCTTACTTCCTGGGTATTGTCCACAATGTCGGTTCTGAATTTTCATTTTGTGTGTGTGTCTGTCACCACATACACACCTGAACCAGTTATTTCATCATGTTCAACTGCATATATTTTCCAGCGACACCGCAGATTCATTTCTCTTCCTGTCGGAGTACGGTTCTCCTCACACCACAGTGTTTCCAAACAGGTCACTATGTAACGAGGCCACTGAGATATCTGCTGCCTAAGAACGTGCTTATCGGACTTTCACACTGAAACGACAATTTGGCTACATACAAAATTCTGGGTTCAGTGTGAGTCTCTTTTAGTTCTTAAAACATATCACTCTACTTGTCTTCCTGCATTCGTGCTACTGTTGAGAAATCTGATGTCAGTTTGAATTTTGTTCCTGTTAAGGTCATCTTCTACCTTATCCTGGAAACTTTCCAGAAGTTTTCACTTGGTTTTGGTGTGTGTGTTTCACACTTTAGTGAGTCCAGGAGTAGGTTTTCCTTCTGGCTTCTGTCTTTCTGAATCTTTTATTTTTATTTTTTATTTGAGACAGAGAAAGAGAGAGAGAGAGAGAGAGGAGGGGCAGACAGAGAGGGAGAGAGAGAGAGAGAGAGAGAGAATCCCAAGCAGGCTCCACATTGTTCACACAGAGCCCGATGTGGGGCTCGATCCCATGACCACGAGATCATGACTTGAGCCGAAATCAAGAGTCAGACGCCTAACTGACTGAGTCACCCAGGCGCCCTGAAACATGTTTTTTAAAAGGATGGTTTCCAAGATTATTTTTTTCAAAAGCAATCTGACAACAAATTGCAACGTGCCAGAATGTTCACTCACACTAGGGATAGTTGAAGACTTTTTCCTTTCCGGCCCCACAAGAGGACTTGCAGTCACCTCACTTTTTGACCCAACCGTAGTGCTGCCAAGTTTCCGAGCTAAGTCCTTGTCCCACTCGTCTTTCTGTTCACTCTCCACACTGTTAGCCTGAGGCCTCTTGGTGTATGACACGGCAGGGGGAATGGAGGGCCCAGCTATAAACACATTAAGAAAGCACAGTTAGCCGAAGATCCTCAGACACAGTTTCTCCTGGTGAACAAAACCTCTAAGTTAAAAATATCCTTCCTTATATATTTTACACTTGGAACTAACATTAAACTGTTTGATTATAAAAGTTAGGTCAGTCCCTAAAAGGGGGATTCTATTAATCATGCAATAATAGAAATCTGTGATAACAGATGATACAAGCACATAAACACATGAGTGCGGAGTTCTCGATAAACACAAGTTTGGGCAGGACTGGTGTCTTTTCACTGGTTTGACTTCTCCCCACCATGATCACTGAAACGCCGCTGCTTCTGGTTTGCTGAGATGCTTCGCTGGACCTTCAGGTGGGCAGGGGACTGGAGGCTGCTGTTGTTCAGGTCACTGCTGGGCCGTGACCTCTGACACAAGCTTCCGCTAGATAACGACTCGCCGCCTTCAAACTGTAAGGAGAAGACAGACCGCAAGGATTTTAAAAGAAAAATGTTTATGCAAACAATATGCACTCCTGGTTTTCTAATCTATCCCAAGCCATACGAAGAGTAATCAGAACCGAAAAGAAAAATCAGTTTGGACACAGAACTGTGAGTTGGCAACCAGGAAGGGAGAGAACTGGGTACAGTGGGTCTCCACGAGTCCGTGCGCCCTTCTGTTACCTTGTACAAGTGGTTTGGGATCCTTAGTTTAGTCAAAACACCAAAGACCAGTTACCACTTACTGAATGGTTATCATATAGTAGGTGTCTTGCTAAGCAGGCTCTTTCTATGTTACTTTGTGTAGTCATTACAATAAATTCAATTGTTTACTAACCTGAACTTTACAGATGGAAAAACTGAGGTTAGGAGGACCAAGGGCAATCTTTGGGATTCAAACTCAGGCATAGTTGGAATTCAAACTTAGGATGAAATCTAAAATTTTAACTTCAACCATCCGCTTTTTTTTTTTTCCTACCACACTTACAGAACAAAATTTGGTTTATTGACTCTGATTTAGAGACTACATCTATTTAGATAAGCACAGTAAATAGGGGGTCGATACACTAGCCCTCTCCTTGTAACCACAAGAGGTTTGTTGCCCGCAAACTTCTGACTGAGTCACTGGCATCCCAAGGGAAAATGTAAATTGATACGTAAAGTTACTAACGACAAATAGCAGAGTTATACTGATGAAAGTGGTAACAGAGAACACGGAACACACAGTAAAGTGCCAGAAACTGTTTTAGGAACTGTGCAAGTATTAGTTCATTTAACCCTCTCAATGACCCTCAGAAGTAGGTACTGTTATCCTCATTTCACGGAGCAGGGATCGGAAGCACAGAGAAATTAAGGAAAGTGCCCAAGTTGATAGTTAGCAGCTGTGCTGGGGTGGAGGAGGGGTGGGGATTCAAACCCAGTGAACCTGGCTCCAGAGTTCAGGCTCTTACTACTTAGAGTAGCCTCATTTGTTTGTATTCGATACAATTCAAACTTCATTTTAATTCATGCACGGGCTGGGCTCTATACTTATGACGCCAGTGCTTGCTTAAGAGGAAAATTAAAGATCTCAGGACTGAAATCTCAACACGTAAGTAGAAATAAGTCAAAGACTTTAGAAACAACCATTTTACTATTTCCCACTTCTTTAACTTCTCTTGATTTGCCTTCTTTGATACCGCTTCTCCAGCTGTTCGTGTCTCCACTGAGCTCCTCCCCCCACTGGAATGGCAGTACCCAGCTGGCAGGGCCAGAGAGGGACAGATGAGTTACCACGTGCGAAGTCCTCAGAACAGCGGCTGGCACGTTAGTGCCGTGCTCCTCTGACGATAGCTCGCAAATGTATTACTGCTGCTTCTAACACTCCCTCCAACCCAGACCTTTACACCCAAGTGTCTACTGAAGAGCTCCACCCAAGAGGAATCTCAAATTCACCCACCTCAAGTTGAACAAACCTTCATCTTCCCCCTGAAATCCACTCTTTTCGTATCCCGGCAAATATGTCTCACAAAACCAGTCACCTGTGCTACAAATCTGAGGGTCCCTCGGCCTCATTTCCAACAGGCCGCCAAGTACTGCTAATTCTACCTCTGACGTGTGGGCCTGCTGTGGATGTCTGTCGTCCTGTCTGTCCTGGAGCGCCCCGCACCTGCCCCCGACCAGAGCAGCGGCACGCTGTAAGCGCACCGCTGACTGCGACCCCCTCTAGAACGAGGGCTCCTTGCGAGCAGAACACGGCAGAGTCTGTAAACGTCAGCTGAATGTACTGCTTCGCCAACAGCTACCGTCTAATTAAAGAGAATTTCAGTCTATTCCACAAAGTGCCTCCCACAGGTATCTAATCATTAACAAGCTGTCAATGTTCTCGGCTCTGTTCTTGACTCTCAATTCATACCTTTATTTTTGCTGTGCCAAAGGACTGTTTGGTTTTATGGTTCAACCACCATCTGTACACAGTTATTCCTGACCTGAATCTATCTCCTTATTATACAGATCTCTCCCGGCCCTGAGAATTCCCCATTGCAAGGATCAGAGCCACTGGATGTTCTAGACGGCAAAATACCACCAAACAACATTTTCCTGGGTTCCCACCTACTCAAATCACTTCAGATACATGTTTTGTTTTAAATGCCATCCCTTCCTTCCATCTCGTCTTCCTGCACACCCAGAATAACCATGTTCCTTTGTGCAGGGCTGTTGTTTCTGGAGACACAACCCTGGGGGCTCTCATTCTCAAAGACTAGACTGTGTGTGCCCCTCGGAGCTAAGCAAGGTACTTGGTCTGCTCTTGCATAGCAGAAATCCCCCCTGGTACTTGGAAATGAAATCAGCTCATAACTTAGCATCTAGAGTTTGAACTCGAAAAATAAGAATGTTAGGGCCTTTATATTATTTTCCATACCATACAGAACAGATGTGCTAACATTATATCTTAGCTGTCACTTGTCTCAAGAAACAGTTGACATTAGGGGCGCCTGGGTGGCGCAGTCGGTTAAGCATCCGACTTCAGCCAGGTCACGATCTCGCGGTCCGTGAGTTCGAGCCCCGCGTCAGGCTCTGGGCTGATGGCTCGGAGCCTGGAGCCTGTTTCCGATTCTGTGTCTCCCTCTCTCTCTGCCCCTCCCCCGTTCATGCTCTGTCTCTGTCTGTCCCATAAATAAATAAAAACGTTGAAAAAAAAAATTTAAAAAAAAAAAATCTATTAAAAAAAAAAAA